GGGTATCCTCTCTCAGATTTGTCTCTTGGAATGTTAAAGGGATCAATTGTCCAGTAAAAAGGGGTAGAGTTTTTTCCCATTTGAAACATCTTAAAACGGAAATTGCTTTTTTACAGGAGACGCATTTGATCGCTAAGGATCACCATAGGTTAAAGGCTTCATGGGTTGGCCAAAGTTTCCATTCCAATTTTAGTAACAAAGCAAGGGGTACAGCGATTTTAATAAATAAAAAAATACAGTTTTACCCAACAAACGTTATAGCTGACCATCAAGGCCGGTTTGTTATAGTCTCAGGCTCCCTCATTAATGTACCTGTTGTTCTTGTTAATCTCTATGCACCCAATTGGGACGATGAGGCATTTATTAAGAAAATAACCTCACTTTTACCAGACTTAACTTCCCACCACTTTATCTTAGGAGGCGACCTTAACTGTACTATAAATCCTTTGCTAGACAAATCCTTCCCACGACAGGATTCCCCTTCTAAAGTTGCTAAAGCAATTTCAATGTTTATGGATCAAGTAGGAGGTTTGGATCCATGGTGCTTTATCTATCCTGATAAAAAACAATTTTCTTTTTACTCTCAGGTCCACAAAACATTCTCAAGAATTGATTACTTTTACATTGATAATTATTTTCTTCCTGTCGTCGAGAACATAGAATATTCTACGATAGTGGTATCTGATCATGCTCCAGTGCTACTCGACCTTTCGTTTACACTTTTACAAAAAACACGCCCCCCATGGAGGCTGAATTGCACATTGCTTAATAATGAGGAATTTTGCCAAACAATATCCAAAGTAATCGATGATTTTCTTATCTCCAACAAGTCTGATCTCATATCCCCATCTCTGCTGTGGGAGACATTAAAGGTGGTAGTCCAAGGAGAGATTATTTCTTATTCTGCAAGAGTAAATAAACTCAAAAAACAAAAACAGGAACAACTCATGGAAAGCATAACAGAATTGGACAGAAAATTATCAACATCTCCATCCCCTGAATTAGATAAAGAGAGGCAAACCCTTCAAATGGAATATAACTTGCTGTCAACACAAGAAACTGAAAAATTAATGTTACGATCGCGTGGATTTCTCTACGAACATGGTGAGAAGGCAGGACGCCATCTGTCACGCCTAATAAAAAACCAATCTGTATCCCAGCAAATTAAACAGATAAGAACCCCTTCAGGTGAACTTACAGTAGCGCCATCTGTCATAAATGAAACCTTTAAAACATTTTACTCTGAACTATACACGTCACAATCCCCACCTGACAAAACAAACATGATGAGCTTTCTGGATAACCTAAATTTTCCACCCATTTCTGCTATCCAGAAGAGTGAAATGGATCGACCCTTAGAATCTCGTGAAATAGCAAACTCAATTAAATTAATGCAGAGTGGCAAGGCCCCTGGCCCTGATGGTTACCCTATAGAGTTTTATAAAAAATTTGCTGACAAATTAACTCCTCTTCTCTTAGACATGTTCAATGACTCTCTGGACCGGGGAGCTCTGCCCCAAACTCTCACAGAGGCATCAATAACCTTATTACTAAAGCCGGGTAAAGAAGATTCCGAGTGTAGCTCTTACCGTCCTATCTCCCTTTTAAATGCTGATTATAAGATTCTAGCTAAGGCACTGGCCCTACGCCTTGAATCAGTCATGCCGAGCATCATCTCACCCGACCCAACCGGGTTTATGAAAAACAGACACTCTTTTTCCAACGTCCGCCGCCTCCTCGACCTTCTTTACTCTCCCGCAGCCAGGGAGACGCCAGAAGTGGTGGTCTCCCTGTATGCAGAAAAGGCTTTTGATAGGGTGTAGTGGAGTTATTTATTAGAGGTCTTAAAGAGGTTTTGCATTGGGTCTAGGTATACATCTTGGATTTCACTCTTATACTCTTCCCCTAAAGCATCTGTAAGCACTAATGGGATGAAATCCCAATATTTCACACTTAACTGAGGAACCCGCCAAGGGTGCCCTCTGAGTCCACTGTTGTTTGCTGTGGCAATCGAACCTTTATCTATTGCACTTAAATCGGCCAGTTTTAATAAAGGAATCTACAGATGTGGTTTGGAACATACACTTTCCTTGTATGCAGACGATTTACTATTGTTTATTTCTGATCCAGTAACCACCATCCCCAAAATAATTGAATTGCTAAACCGCTTTGGAGCATTTTCCGGCTATAAGTTGAACTTCTCAAAAAGCGAATGCTTTCCTGTAAACAACTTAGCCCTCGGGATCCCTGATGTGTGTTTTCCATTTAAAGTGTCTAAAAGCAGCTTTAAATATTTAGGAGTGCATATCTGCCGCAAGATGTCAGATCTCTACAAGACCAATTTTCAACCCCTAATTGAAAAGCTTAAATCAGATCTGGAAAGATGGTGTAACTTGCACATAACTATAGCGGGAAGGGTAAACTGCATCAAAATGAACGTGCTTCCACGTTTTCTCAATCTTTTCCAATGCTTGCCGATCTTTTTACCCAATTCCTTTTTTCGTGCTATCAATAGGCTAATTTCATCTTTTATATGGAAAGGCAAGACTGCCAGAATAAGGAGAGAGCTTCTACAAAGGAATAAGTCGGTTGGTGGTTTGTCACTCCCTGATCTAAGACTCTACTATTGGGCAGCCAACATAAACAAAATGACTCTCTGGATTCGCGAACCTGAATTAATCTGGTGTAAACTAGGAGCTAAATCCTGTTCTACGTCACTTCTAGCTTTACTTACACAAATATTGCCCTTTCGACCATCCCAATATACATGTAACCCAATTGTCGTCTCCACCCTTAAAATTTGGCTCCAATTCAGACGTACTTTTGGACTCATAGGACTGTCCAATTACAGCCCCATACATAACAACCATCTCTTCCTCCCTCCTAGCATTGATAATGCCTTTTCTCTATGGCAGAGATCTGGCCTTGTTAGGCTAAGTGATCTATATATTAACAATGTCTTTGCTAGCTTCAACGAATTATGTGGAAAATTCAACCTCCCCAAATCTCATCTATTCCGATATTTCCAGATTCGTAACTTTGTTAAATCCAATAGCAGCTATTTTCCTAACGCCCCACCTAACTCAGTAATTGACTAAATTTTGGACATTCCCACAAATCAGAAAGGCCGTATCTCCAAAATATACACCTTAATATCCCATCTCAAAGAAACATCTCTTGATAAAATCAAGAAAGACTGGGAACAAGAACTTGGTAGGGTTATTGATGACGGCGTCTGGGACTCAGCATTAACTCGTGTAAATAATAGTTCATCTTGCTCCAGGCTTAATCTCATACAATTTAAGGTTGTCCATCATATTTATTTTACCAATTCTAAACTTTCCAAAATTAATCCCGAGGTCGCAGACGTATGCAATAGGTGTCACATGTCACCAGCAAACATGACTCACATGTTCTGGTCCTGTCCCCGTCTGCAAGATTACTGGACAGCTGTTTTCAAACATCTTGGAGAAGCACTAAATGTGAAATTGAGACCTTGTCCTGAATTGGCTATTTTTGGATTAATAGACCATAAAAAAATTAAGAAAAAGTTCAAGGATAGTATTGCTTTTGCTTCTCTATTAGCGCGGAGAAGAATTTTGTTGGAATGGAAGGCACAGGGGCCCCAAAAGCTTCACTGTGGCTTAAAGATCTCATGCTGCACATAGACCTGGAGAAAATTAAATATGATCTGAGGGGGGCACCTGGAAAATTTGATTCAGTTTGGGGCTGCATGATTAGCTACATAGCTAGAATGAAGACACTGCAGGACGGGTGAAGCGTCCACTTTTGAAACCTGACTTTTGATTGCTTTTTTCTTTTCCTCCAGGCTTCATCTCGGCCCATTGAAACATTTTTACTTCTCAGTTTTGTTTTGTGGTGTTTTCTGTTTATTTATTTGTGTTGTACTTGCTGCTCTCCCTTTTTTTTTCTTTTTTTTATTGTCTATATACTTTTTTTTTTTTTTTCTTTATTCACATGTTCTTGTACGGTAAGAAGGAAGGATGTGGGTTATTACTGATTTATAGCATAATCTTGTAGGATTGGGGAGGGCTGGGGAAGGGAAGGGAATGAGGGGTTGTTGTTTTTGTAAAAATGGAAAAAAAATCCTTATTTTCATTATTTTCATTGTTTGTACTTGACCTTGTCACATGAATAAAAACATTATTAAAAAAAAAAAGAAACATGCAAATAGAAACCGATGAGTGGGTCGTTTGGTTCGATTGTTAGCCTGTAATACCTGAAACCTGTCTATGATTGTTAAGAGTCAGTCGTTAAGGAGGTATTGTTCACCGGCTGAAGAGAGGAAGGAACTTTGTTCCTCTGTGATGGAGTGGGGGGTGTGGGGATATCTGGAAGGGATTAACTCAGTTAATAACTCTGTTACTTTTTGGGAGAAGTAACTAGTAACTAAAACTAATTACTTTTTCAAAGTAACGTGCCCAACACTGTCTACGACACACAAACTCTTAATTACAATTCTCAAGAATTGGGGGTTGAGTAGGAGAGAGGTTTTTTTTTAAATATATTTATTTATCTGTTTGTTTTTATGTTCAGATGTGTAAGTATATATATATATATATATATATATATATAATTTTTTTCTCCTCCTTCTGATTTGCTCTTCTATTATTTTCATTTATTGATTATTTTTATTTATTTTTCCCTAAAGAGTGAGTTTGTGTATGTGCGTGAATGCTTGTGTGTTCTGTCCGTCGGGTCAAGAAAGCTTGTAAAGGTGAGGGTAGGGGTTGTTGGGCATTATTTCTGGGTGTTTACATACAGATGTGCCACTAAACGCTTTTTGAAAGATGTGGAAACATCTTCAGAATTAGGAGAAGTCTGGCTTCCTTTTATTGAAGTCTGTTATACAATTAACAACATCCTAACATTTCCGAACATCCAACAAAACAGAGGAAAGAAAAATAAAACCCAGCCTCCCTTCAGATGACTGACTGAACTGACTGACTGAACATCCATACTACCCAGAGCTGCAGTACCTGTGCTGTAGTGCAGAGAGATGGCGCTGGACTTCATGGTGATTCCTCGAACCTGTTCATCCTCTCTGCTGTCCAGATATCTTAGCTGGAACATCAAACATCCCCGACATTAACGGAACAGAAGGAAACAAGCAGATCTCTGAAGAGGTCACCATCCACTGCTTCATCTCACCTTCCCAGCCAGACGGCTGGATATTATCCCGTTACTCGCCACAAGGCAGTCAGCCAGAGTAGTTTTACCTGAAAATAGATACAGAACATTATAGTTCCCAGACCAGTTTATCCAACTGAGCTCCGACATCTGACAAAGGTATCATAGAAAAAAATAAAAATAAAAAATATATAAAACAGCAACATCTGGACATCTGCCTGCAGGAGTCCCCAGGATTTTAATTTCTGATTTTGGGCTTCTAGCCTCTTTCACTGCAGACATTTATCTGTCTTTACCAGAGATGCTTTGCAGAAGCCGGCAGCGATTTGCTTCAGGTTGGATAAATCGCTCACAGGTGGTACGTTCTTATGCTACTCTCATACCTACTCATACTTTATTGCACCCGTTTCTTAAGGATCAGATCGCTCAACATATTAATACCTATATTTGCTATTATTCTACATTCCATTAATTTCATGCAATATAAAGTAGCTGAAAGTAGAAAACAATCATTGTCAGTTTCAAAGGAAAGTACTGCCTTCTAAGACACTGAGCTCTGCCATTTAACAAGGAGACAAAAAAGTCTCAGCTTTTTTTTAATTCTTTTTATTAAGATCCGAGGGCAGGAAGGACAGATGGAACATCTTAAACATCTTAATGACTTCCGTAGAGATTTCAGACAGAAAAACAACAGTTATTAGAAACCGAACACTATTATTAACACAAAGCTAAAAGTAGTGTAGCTTAATATGGCTAACTGACTGAGCTAAAAGAGGCTAACTTGTAAGCTACTGAGCACAGCTAGCCACAGCGCTACCCAGCTCTCCCCCTTTATATCACGGTCTAACAGTTACTTTGTTCACCAGAAACTGATTTTTTCTGTTTTGTTATCAATCACTTAACATTTCATTGGTCATTAGACATGCTAACGCTACAGATGCTACCGACTCGGCACACGGACGCTGCGTGATGTTTTTATCATTGCCCGGGCAACCACAATGTTTTACATCATGTGGCAACGTTCAGCCAATCATGTAGCGTAACGTCACTGGCAGGAAGTAGGACCCGAGCAGATCTGGTAGCTACAGCGGGCCTGAGGCAGCTGCTGTTGGGGATTCCCAGTGACAGCGCACCACCGGTATGTGAGGAGAACAGACCATGTTTTCAGGAGGACTACTTTTTATCCCGATGATCACAGCTAATATAGCAAAGCTGCTCTCTGGCATCGAACTCAGGAGCAGCAGAAGCATCTGGACTCACTTTACTAGACGGCTGACCTTAATGTGGATCAGAGACTCATTTCATCATGAGTCAGTTTGATGAACGACAGGGAGTCGTTCATCAAACTGTATAATTTATCTCTCAAGGCATTCATTTAATTTCATTAGTCATTATTTGTTTCTTTTATTACATCACCATGCTCAATAATACAGTCATGTGCAGTAATTGTAATTTAGGTACTGAGCAGCGTTATAAATACTGTTAAATGTATACAATAAGATATTTTTTTCCTGGATCTTATTTAACAGTGTTTATTAGGGCTGGGTATTTTTGCCAAAGTCCTGAATTGATTCGATTTTGATTCATAGAGTTCTAAATTGATTAATTTCGATTCAATCTGTATTACAATAATGAAAGTGGTTCAACTGTGTTTCAAAACACACTGTATTTTATTTGTTCCTGTCATATTAAGTGCAGACACTTGAGATGTGAACAAAACTGTCTCAAAAGTGCAAACTTGTTTATGAAAAGTGAAAAAGCCTCACTCGAGCAAACAGACGTGACACAGCAGACATGCATGAGCTGCATTATCTTCCTGCACAAACCATATTTGCAGCTTTGTCTGTAACTACAGGGTGTTTTCTGCTCAGCCCCCATTTGTTAATGTCTTCAATCAACCTATTGGCTATATTTGCAGCTGGCTGGCTTGAAGTATTTTGAGTGCATGTTTCCTGCTAATTTGAATGTGAATGTCACGTGCGTCACTATAAAACTAATCGATCTCATTCCCTAGACATCGATTTTGCAAAAATCTAAAGGAATCGATTTTTTTTTACTCAGCCCGACTGTTTATATGGGAAGGGTGTACATGGTTTATACAGGAATGAGTAAATCTGATTTAATGCTCTTTGAAATCATTATAATGCCATCAAGAAATACCTCTGACTATATATCGCAGCAAAATCCTTCTTCATCTTTGCCGTCGACAGGCTGCAGCTATGTCCTCAATTTCTCATTTTCCAGCCACTTTTGTTGAAATTAGCATTTTCCCCATTCTCTAGCTTGTTCTCCGCCTCGAGCTCATTTTCCAAATGTACGGCTTTACGATAAACCGGAAGTGCTTCCGCACAACCACCCGGAACCAGTTATATCTGATATATCTGACGAAATTGTTTTTTTTTTTTTTTAAATAAAGCATTTTAAATGCCATGATAATCACATTTAATGAATGTTAATGCCAATTAGAGCCTTAATTTAAAAATTATTAATTTATTGACTTTGAATCATACCCGGAAACCCTGGTGTAATTTAACTTATTGACAATGAGATAAAATAAATAAAGATAAACATAAAATTAATAAAAAAAATAGAAATAATAACTACTCTCTTTTGTAAATCACATTACAGCAAATTTTCCTCAATAAAGAGCAAGCCTTAAAACTAAACATAATACTGAATAATAAAAGATTATATGAATATACAATATTTATAAAACATAATCTTATAATATACTAATATATAAAGATTTGTGTTTATCATATTGATATTTATTTGCAAAATATATCACTGTATTTATCTCATCCAGTTTGAGTTCAGTTTAAATAGTTTTTAATCTGAATAAATTTGTGTAATCTAACTGAAAGGTAATTTCAGACTTTGTTTTGTTCTTTTAAAAGGTTGCGACATGTAAGAGATTATTAAAATATTATCTCTGACTCGTCTTTCATGTGATTAAAATGAGATCTAAAGCGCCTCCTTTTCATTCTGACAGCAGCTGTCTGAACTGTGGTCTGATCCAAAATGGCCGCCCCCTAGGCACGTCAGCCAGCGTCCACTGAGGCGTCTACATATAAACCAGCAATGTTTATGTAAATAGTGAGGAAGCAGCTACGGAAGCCGGGCTGTGAACTCACCGTGATCAACATGTGCCAGAATGCACAGGTTCCTGATGTTGGCCGGGTTTCTCTGCAGGGCTCGGATCTTTTCCAGGCTGGTGGCTCCCATCGCGATCGCCTGATGAAAAACCAGCGGCGGTCACTAAATACTGCAGGGGTTCTGACACCGGGATCGGGTCGGTTCTGGGACAGAGCAGCTGAGATGTGGTCCCGAACCATCAGACACCACGTGCTGTTAAAGCTCGGATCATGTCAGGCCAGTGAATGGCGGCAGTGGTGTAGAACACACCGGGCTAAAAGAAACAAACTTCTCAGAGAAACAAAAGTCCAAACACCTTTAGCTAGCGGTCATTGCCCGCTGCAGCTTCAGACTCGCTTAAAAACATCAAGAGTGACACTGTTATAGCCTAGAAACTCACATAGGAAGGGTGCGATGTTCGCGATCCACTCGTCTTTAGATTAACAGGTGAAAATCCCAAACCTCCCCTAAACACTTCCTCTAAGCACTAACCCTCGGTTCTAACTGCGCCTCAATTGCGTCCTTTGAAGGACCCAGCCTTCGGAGGATGCTCCGGTGAATGGGACGGTCTAGGCTTTGGAGCACTTCCTGGTTGCGACACGACGTCATCACGTCTACCCCCAAGCCTGGGCAAAACTGCGCCAAACAAAACCGACAGCTCCAGAAAGACGGAAAGAAACAAACAAACAAACAACAAAAAAAAAAAAAATGGATATGGAAATTTTTATTTCTTTTCTTTTTATTTACTTGTTATTGGAGGAGGAGAGTCGGCTTTGGCGGCAGCAAAACCGGCGACGTATTTTTCTCAGGCTGGGAGAGGCAGTGGAGTATGGAGGACTGACTGCCATATATAAAAATGAGTACAGAAATAATTATATGCTCAGTAAATAAATAGGCATACAATTAATTGCCACCAAAAATACAATAAGCAAATAAATGTAAGGAGAAATGAAATTATGCAGTGAGACATAAATGTATATAACTCTTTCAATTCACATCTTTATTTGCCTTTGTAATATTTACCTTATTTATTTTTTGTCCTTTATAATCTTCAACTTTATTTTTTAATTACTTATATTTTTAAGTATTTATTCATGTTATGATATTTTTGTCTGTTTTATTCTTCCTTTGTACTTTCTTACCCTAGTTATTTCTTCTATGCTGTTTATTTCTGCCTGCCCTTTTTACGTTTCTGTATGCATTTCTGCCTCATTATGCAAATGAGGAGGGGCGTGTCATAAGGAGCACAATGGCAAGTTTACTGGAGTTGATCAAGTTTTACTTTATTGTTGGTCTAAGACAGGAGAGATCCTGATTCTGCTGCACACTGGATGAGATCAGTATTGGCATGCACACAGTGAGAAGAATCCTCCACAGAATGGGACTCTATGGAGGAAAACATCAATTAGATCCTCTAGTTTTGGAGGCTTTCCTCACTGACCAGCTGGAGAGATACGGAAGCCTGCACGGATATACGGTTCACCTCCTTAAATGTGTTCAACATGGATATGCTGCGACTCAGAATACAGTGAGACATCTGTTATCATTTCTGGTCCCAAGGGGTGCAGAACGAAGGTGGAGGAGGAGGCTGATGCAGTGCATATTGATCCTGGACCTAATTTCTTCCACGAAGCTGAAATTGGCTATCGATTGCAGCTTCTGGTTGCTGAAATGAGTTAATTTTCCCTACCTTCAGCATCTTTAATCCACTCTTATTAAAAAACTACAACACCTAGACACATCTAACCTTGACTAGATTATTCTGAAACTACTTGTCGAATAATTAAAACCAGGTCTGGGATTTGTGAAACATTTCTTTGAGTTGTGAAACTTCAATAAAAACAGTTTTTAACACTTGTACAAATTTTGGAAATACTGTTATTTCTTCACATTCTATGCCATATGTCAGCACAAGATCTAAAGTATGAAGATGAGAATGTGTGGGACTATTCACATTTTGAACAAAGCCAATAGTGTCTAAGATAGCATTAAAGGCTGCTCTTAAGCTATCGCCTTCAATTTCAGCATGGATGTTAAAATCTCCCACTATGATGACCCTGTCAGTATTTAATACCAAATCAGAAAGGAAGTCTGAAAACTCATCTAAAAATTCAGAGTAAGGACCTGGTGGACGATATAAAGTTACAAAAAGAAGAGGTTTTCTTGCTTTTTAATTTGGATGAGGGAAACTAAGGGTTAAATGTTCAAAAGAGTTGTAGGTATTAACTGTTTTGGGAGTAATCAGTAAGTCAGACTGAAAGATTGTTGCTACTCCTACTCCTCGCCCAGAACTTCTGGGTATGTGAAAATTTAAATAGCTTGAAGAAGTTGCCTCATTTATGCTCACATAATCCTCTTGCTGCAGCCAGGTTTCTGTAAGGCAAATCAAGTCATTAACTAGCAGACTTTTAGAGGAAAAAGATCTTATGTTAAACAAGACCACATTTAATTGTTTTAACTTTTTCCCCAATTGGAGTTATTTTGATTTTAATTAGATTATCATGATTTACTCCTTTGGGAACATTTGCTAATTTAATAGATTTTGGTCGTGGGCAAGACACTGTCTGGATGGAGTAAAGAGTGGTTAACAGCAGAGAAGCTGCAGAGACGTGTGTTAAACTACAACTCTGCTTCCTGGTCTGCACCCTGGGTGGTCAGGGTTTTGGAGGACTAATAAATGTGGCCAGATTCCTAGAAAGAAGAGCTGCACCATCCAAAGTGGGATGGATGCCGTCTCTCTGAATCAGACCAGGCTTTCCCCAAAAGGATTGCCAATTATTAATGTAGCCCACGTTGTTTTCAGGACACCACCTAGACAACCAGCGGTTGAATGATGACATGCGGCTAAACATGTCATTGTTACTGTCACTGTTGTCTAGGAGCTCTCTTCATGAGAGAGCTCTCTCTTTGTGTTTCAGGTCTACCTGGCTGTTACAGATGCAATGTGTTGAAGCTCGTCAGCCACCTCATTAACCCCTTGCTCACACTGGTTCCGGTGCGGTTACCGAGCCGACGGAGACCGCAACTCCCGCACACCCCCTCTCACACCGCCCTTTTGACTACGGTGCGGTGCGGCTCTTAGGGTGGCCATTTCTATAGCACCAAAAAGGAGGACATTGTGCGGCATATCAATAAATTACTAAGGTGTACATAAGAATCGGGTAAAGTCACATTTATAGCACAATTCTTAGTAGTTTAAAGAGGATGCTTGTGTAGCTGAATAGAACAAAATATTAAAGAAATGTAAAAAAGAATTGGTTCCCAGCATCTGTATTTATTTAATACATTGTGGTGTTTAAAAAGTGACCATTTTTTAACACGATTAATTTGCGCAGAACTGCTGCAATTGATCATAAAGCAGTTGTTTGGAAAAGAAGCTCGAGAAAGAGCTAGATAATAGGACGATGCAAACTGCAAAAAGTGGCTGGAAAAGAGGAATTCATGACATGGCTGCAGCCTGTCGAGAGTAAAGATGATTTCACCATGTTCTCTATCTATCCATATCTATATATATATATATATAAACTTGAGTCATGGAACTGTGCTTACAGCTCCTTATTTCATGTAAACTAATAACTTGTGTACATGATACTTGTTGATGGCATTAAAATTATTTCTAATAGCATTAAAAGAGCATTAAATTAGAGTTCCTCATTCCTGTATAAAACCTGTGAACGCTTAATTTAATCTGACATATTAAAAAAATCCCCATCATCATCCAGCAGATGTTCAGTTTCTGCTCAAATATTTTCTTTCTGTTGTGGATTTTTGTAACAGGGATAACTAGGATCATACATAGTTTGTATGAACTCTGTTTATTCTCTGCTTCCAAACTCATCATCTCATCCATTCCTGCAATAAGAATTTTCTTTTAAAGTTGTGAGATTCACTCTAGAATCTCACAACTTCTTCCTGGTCTGTTGAAGCACCAATAGTCTGCATCCAATTATTTAATTAACTGCTCTTAGTTTTTGGGAATATATACGAACTATGCTCTAATTTCTAGATACCGATCTGTTTTTACTATAATTTAATTTGACAAACCGGGTCTTCTCTACATTCTTTTTTCTGTTTGGTGCGATTGCAATAGCGGGTCTTGATCTGGATGGACCGGAGGGGAGCAAAAAATAGCTCAGCTCCGTATTTTGACGGTGAAGGACGGAGAAGACGTACGTGGGCGGTGACGAGCGGAGGATGTGGAACAGCTCTCATTGATTTACATGACAGACAAGTACTCCGTACGTGAGCGGGGCGGAGCGCTGACGGAGCATGTGGAATCTGGGGGTAAAGGAGGACAAATACACGTCCGGCTGGGTGCAGCGCCGGACGCCGGACAGTGCAATGAAAATCCGGACTGTCCGCCCTAAAGCCGGACATCTGGCCACCCTAGCGGCTCTGCGGCTCCAGCAACAGGTCCGGAGATTTAACTCGCAAGAACAGAAGTTCACTTGAGTTCACGTAACTTCACGCGATAACACGGCCCAAATAAGGATATTTGCGAGAGCTTGTTGCGGAGGGCTCCGGCATGCCGCAAGGATAGCTTTCTTGCGGAATTTTCTGCAGCACCGGAGTGTCTCGGTTACCGCAGCCGGACAGCTCAGCAGCCATGAGAGAGGTTTACGTCTTTTTAATGACTTGGAATCACTGCGGCGCCGCACACACCGCACCGCAACGGTAAGACCGGAGTCGGTGTGAGCCGGGGGTAAGAGCTTCAACCCTGAGATGTCAGGCCCCCTTTTTCTCCTATTCACTGTGCCTTGATCTGAAGTGATCTTGTTTGTGAGCTGAGTGTATTCTGTGTGTTCATGTTGAACAATTGGCTAACTAAAGTATTTGTTTTTCTGTTCACAGTGGAAGCTGGTAGGGGTTCTCTGGCATTTTTTGTTTAACTGTTTTCTCCTTGTTTTGTGGTTAGCCGGGGAGTCCCGGTATTATATGTTCTTTTCATTTCTGTGTTAGAAAGTGTTTTGTTTTATAAGTAAGGAGGGCTTTTGTTTGTTGTTTTGGCCTTGGAGACCTTGAGACTTTAAGCTTCCCTGTTTTGTTGTTTGTTTTTTTTTACCCCTGCAAATTGTGAATAAATAATATTTTTCTACTGACATCATCTTTTAGTTTACTGACTTTTTTTGTGCACCCAGTGCCAGAATTTACCCTTAGTGGTCTTAATGGTGGGGGTTGTAACATAAGTGGGGGCTTGTCTGGAATTTTAAATTTCTTTTTGAACATGGCACAGTTTAATTTGGAGGAGTTTTTGGGTAATCTCACCATACAACAGTTTAGTGTCTGTAGAAAAGATGATTTATATAAAATTGCTTCTCATTTTGTTATCCGTTTCTCTAAGTCTTTGCTTAAACGTGAACTGAAATCTCTTGTCTTCAGTGGCTTGGTTGAGAAAGGAGTACTTTCAGTGGGAATGGATAAGGAGGAGGCCACCTCTTCTGAAACTGCTGATCAGTTTGATGTTTGTGCTGAGGAGGGAGTGAAGACACCACCAGTTGCTGCCAAGCCAGAGTTGGAAAAACCTCCAGCCTCTCTCCCACGGTTTGAGCCATTCTCTTTTGAGTCCCCAAATCCTAGTGTTGACGCACATCTAA